CCACTTTATTATCGCTTTCTGGCCCACGTGTGATAACGTCCTATGATATGTTTGCCTTAAATCAAAAATGACTTGGAGGTACACAACAACAATAAAGACTTGGACAGTCATTGTTTGTACTTCTAGAAAAAATATAGTATTAGTTTAGATTAGTTGTTGGCTTTGTAGGCACAACTGAGACCCTTTGAGATTTCCTGGCCATTGAGAAGCAGGAGAGAAGAGTATGGTCAGGGTAACCGCAAGTCTTAAAAGCAAAACAAAAAACACCCTGAAGCTTTGCTGTTACCCTGACTTTGCTGATAGCTCTTTCCTGCTTCTTATGGTTTTCCACCTCTATACATGGATGCAGGGTGACCAATGTCCTAACTCCAAAGAAGGACAGGGCACCACAAAATGTAGGACATTCGAGAAAAAAATGTATGACATTATCAAATAAAAGCTAATATAAAACACTCATAGAAATGTAAATTCATGCTGCTTTGTCATGCTCAGAATGGAGCACATTTTGAAATTCATCCTGGACTTAAGGTTGAAAAGTCAGACATGTCCAGGAAAAGGAGGACTTCTGGTCTTCCTGCATGGATGGGAATGGAACAGAGTATCCTGGTAGTAGGGTGACCAGATGTCCTCCTTTTCCTGGACATGTCTGACCAGATGTCCTGACCTCAAAGGAGGACAAGGCACTGCAAACTGTAAGACATTCAAGAAAAAAAATGGAGGACATTACCAAATAAAAGCTAAAAACACTCATATAAATATAAATTCATGCTTCTCAGAACGGGGGACACTTTGGAATTTCTCCTGGACAGGTTGAAATGTAGGGCATGTCCTGGGAAAAGGAGGACATCAGGTCACCCTGCATGGGTGGGAATGGACCACAATAGAGCCTGGAAACACCAGCATTCTGCATTTCAGTATTTTGTTGCGGATCACAGTGCAGAAACTGGGCTGTGTGACTTGCATTTCCTAGCTTGCATTAGTCCCTACACACAAACACACACACATACACACCCCACAGCTACTCTTTCACACATGTGCAAGGGGCGCAGTCTAGCGGAGGCCACTCCTGGGCTGTAACAATCCGGATGGAAGGTATTTCAACACACTGGAGGTAGTCTTTCAGCCGTTGAGTGCTCAGCAATCTCCTCTCCTCTTAAGGGAAGAATGCAAGCCTTAATGCAAGGCTGATCTTGCCAAAACTCAAAATAGGGTTGCCAGCCACATTTGCCCCCTTGCAATTCCCCCCTTTGCTAGGAATAGCAGGGGCTGGAAGTCAACCAGTGGGGCAAGGAAAGCTGCGCTGCACCTGTTGAATGCCTGCTTCCAGGCCTGCATTTAATGCCTGCTTCTTCCAGGTAGGCAACTGTTTAGTGCAAAGCAGCCCTGGCATGAAAGTGGTCCTCCTAACACACACATCACACACACACACCTCAAAAGACAGGCCGGGAAAGTTTTCAGCAAGCAAAAAGGTTGTTGTTGTGTGCCTTCAAATCATTTCCGACTTATGGCCACCCTAAGGCAAACCTAGCATGGGGTTTTCTGGGGCTGAGAGAGTGTGACTTGCCCAGATGTCCTAACTTCAAAGGAAGGCAAGGCACAAGGATAAGATGGAGGGCTTTCAAAGAAAAAAAAATGGAGGACATAACCAAAGAAAAGCTAAACACACGCATATCAATCCATGCTTCTTAGCCGTGCCCAGAATGGAGGGCATTTTTGAAATTCCTCCTGGACAAAAGGCTGGAATGGAGGACGTGTCCTAAGAAAGGAGGACGGCTGGTCACTCTGAGCTAAAAGCATCCCTGTAAATGTAAATTCACGCTTCTTTGCCATGCTCCAAATGGAAGGCATTTTGGTATTCCTCCTGGATAGAAGGGTGGGATGGAGGACAGGTCCTGGAAAAGGAGGACTTCTGGTCACCCTGGACTTGCCAAACACTGTGTTTCTTTGGCCAAGCAAGAAATGAAAAGAGTAGTAGTTGTGTGTTTTCAAGTTGTTTCGGACTTATGGCGCCCCTAATCCTGGGGTTTTCTTGCCAAGTTTCTTCAGGGAGGGTTTGCCATGACCATCTGAGGCTGAGAGAGTGTGACTCGCCCAGTGAGTTTCCAAGAGTTGTAGTTAGTTATTATTATGTGCCTTCCAGTCGTTTCCAACTTATGGCGACCCTCTCCTGGACTTTCCTTGGCAAGTTTCTTCAGAGAGGGTTTGCCATGGCCATCCCCTGAGGCTGAGAGAGTGTGACTCGCCCAAGGTCACCCAGTGGCTTTCCATGCCCGAGAGAGGAACCACACCCTCCTCATATAGTCCAACACTCAAAACACGCTGGCTCCCAGTCAAAACAAAAAGTTTAGAGGCAAATAAAGTTATTCTGAAAGCTGCAAGGGAAGGAATGGGAAAGGGATGTCCTTCTCTTGGAGGCACCGCTCCTCTCCAAAGCCCCTGATATGCCTTTGTTTTATTTTATTTATTTCCTTTTATTTTTACGCCGCCTTTCTCTCAGAAAGGGACCCAAGGCGGCTCACAAGATTATAATTTATTTATTTTTTTAAAAAAAACCTTTTTACGATTTTTAAAAAAACACACAATTGAAACCATCTCGTTAAAAACAGGATAAAATTAACATAACATTGTGTCTGTGTGTGAAAGCGAAAGGCGGTGCTGTGTTGCTCCCAGCGGGCGCTGGGCAAGAAAAGGCGCCTTTCCCGCCCTTCCCCAGGGCTCAGCCTTGGCAGGGAGACCGGCCGTCCTCCTTTTCCAGGACGCGCCCTCCTTTCCGACCTTTTCTCCAGGAGGAATGAATGCAACACTTCCCTCCGTTTTTGACTAAGAAGCATGATTTTACATCTATGTGAGTGTTTGCAACAGGGTGGCCGGGCGTCCTCCTTTTCCCGGACGCGTCCTCCTTCCCCAGGACCTGCCCTCCTCCTCCTCCTCCTCCTCAACCTTTCGTCCAGAAGGAATGCCCAAGGCCAGAATGTCCTCCATTTTGACTAAGAACCGTGCATTTACATTTATATGAGTGTTTTGAGTCCAAAGTGACCGGAGATCCTCCTTTTCCAGGACCTGTCCTCTTTTCAACCATTTGTCCAGGAGGAATGTAAACATTTCCTCCATTTTGACTAAGAAGCATGATTTTACATTTATGTGAGTATTTGTAACAGGGTGACCAGGCGCCCTCCTTTTCCAGGACCTGTCCTCCTCCTCCACCACCACCACCACCTTTTGTCCAGAAGGAATGCCCAATGCCAAAATGTCCTCCATTTTATCTAAGAACCGTGCATTTACATTTATATTAGTGTTTTGAGTCCAGAGTGGCCAGAGGTCCTCCTTTTCCAGGACCTGTCCTCCTTTTCAACCTTTTGTGCAGGAGGAATGCCAATAAAATCCTAATTTAAAAAATGTCCTCCACCTTTGAAGAATGAATTTAATTGATACGAGTCTTCTGAGCCCAGGGTGGCCGCAGGTCCTCCTTTTCCAGGACCTGTCCTCCTTTCCCACCTTATGTCCAGCAGGAATGCCAGAAGAATGCCTTCCATTGGGAGCACAGGACTAAGAAGCGTGCATTTATTCACACGTGTGTGTATGTTTTGAGCTCAGGGTGACCACAGGTCCTCCTCCTCCTCCTTTTCCAGGACGCGTCCTCCATTCCAACCTTATGTCCAAGAAACTCCACCTGGAGCATGGCTACGAAACATGAGTGTTTTTAACTCTCTTTTTAAATTTTTTTTAATGTCTTCCATATCTTATTCCTTGCAGGTCCTCCACCTTGAGCCTAAGGCCAATATACTCTACTCTACTCCCAAAATACCTGGGAGGGGGG